TGCTTGGAAGTCCGGCGGGAGCTGGTCGCCTGGCCCGACCTCTTACAAAGTCACTCCGAGAGGCGGCACTTTCTGGATCGAGAGAGGAAACGTGCAGCAGCTCCTTGGTCGGGGGTCTCCAGAGGCTCCCCATTCAGACGATCTCGCCCGTAGGGATCGCTCCGCGCAGCAGCCGGGGAGGAGGGGGCGGGGGAAAGCTATGGCTCATCCGGACGCTCCGGCTCTCTCTGCCCTTCTCCTCGTGGTCATCGCCGCAGGTAAGGGAGCGGGAAGTATGCGTGACTTAATTCTAGAAAGATCAGGCTGGCAGCTGTTTAAGTGAGCCATCTTTTGGAAATGGGAAGGACTATAGCGATAACCAGCCTTGATGCCAGCTTCCAAGTAGGCAGAGATTTAGAAGTTATATAGCTTGTTATATAAAAACCGGACAGAGACGTTACTGCCCCGGACAGCAACCTGGGGAGACAGGCAGGGGGGCATGAATGCCCTGGCTCCGGAGCTGAACGTGAGTCAGCAGTGTGATGCCGCCGCCGCCGCGGAAAAGCTTCGGGCGAACTTGACGCCCCGTTCCGAAAACCGGAGTTCCGAGTCACGGGAAGCCACGGTTCCTCCTCCATGCGCGCCCCTCGGGGCTCCTGGAGCATCATGTCCCGTTCTGGGTACCGCGTTTTGAGGAGGATCTCGCCGTTTCGGAGGAGGGCAGAGTGGACGGGCAGCTGAAAAGAGGCCCTCCCTGTGAGGAAAGCGTGGAAGTTTTGGGTACACGGAGCTTGGGGGAAGGAAACTTTGCGGGGGGGGAGGGCAGGTGTCGTGTGCCCTCAAGTCGGATTTTGAGTTAAGGCGACCATACTAGAGTTTCCAAAGTATGTGAGATATTTACGGGGGGGGGCAGACCATAGCACTCCTCTGGTGGTGCCTCAAGCATTGCTGTAAAACCACAGGACGATCTGTGTAGGATCAGACCCATTGCGTGCAAACGTGTTCATACGACGGCCAAGCGTGAGTGCAACAGCACCCCTCCTCACGTTTCCTGGATCCTGGCTTGCAGAGGCAGCCTCCCTGACGGGAACAAGTAGCCATTGATTCCCCTTGTCCTTCACGTTCATCAGAAAGGGGGTTGTTTTTGTTGCTTCACAGGGCAGGAACAACTGTAATGAATTTAAGTTACAAGTGGGGGTATTTGGGCTAAATATTAGGAGAGTCATCATGATAGAAATTTAACAGTGAAGTAGGCCCCTTCACTCCCGGGCCAGAGGTCTACAGGCAGAGGCTAGAAAACCCACTGGTTTCAAATATTTTTTAGTTCTGGATTTTCAGCATCAAAAAGGGTGTTGAACTAGATGACCCCCTTCCAGATCTGTGGATCTGTTAAATAAATAAATAAAGTTTGATGTTAACTTCTTATTATTTTTATAATTTATATATCATTTGTTATTTCTGTACACTACCCAGAGTGACCATTGGTCAGATTGGCCGTTTTGAAACTGAATACATGAATGAATAAATAAGATATTCTTAAAATTACTATTAGCATGCTTTTTTTAAAAAATCATTTAATTGTTGATTCTCTACAAGTACGCATGCTCACTTCTCATTTTCCCCATAGAGTATGAATACAGGTGGAGATACTGCTCTAGAAATAGCCTGTAATCTCAAACACACACATATTTGGAAGTAAGATCTATGGAAATCAATTGTTTTTATTTCCAATTAGTAGTTAGATATGCTGCAGAAAAAAAATCCCAGTGACATAATTTAGAAACATGAGTTTAGATGTGATTCAATGGTTGAAATGTTAGTGTAGTACATGGTCTATTGTAGGCCCATTGAACCAATAGGACTTACAAATGAATCATCAGCCCACCAATTCAGTGGGCCTACTCTAGTTGCAATTTACTGTACTGTGCTATTTACTATTCACGAAGAGTCGGACACGACTAAACAACAACACATGCTAACCAACAAGATTTCAGCCAATAACTTAAAGAAGGAAGATTTCCAAGCCAGCATCTGGAAGAGTTCCAGCAGTGGGAGAAATTATTTCTTTGGGTTCTAACTGGGATGTTCTGGACATTATGGGCCAAAAATGTATTTTTTCTTTCTTTCTTTGGAACATTCCATCAGAGGAATGTATCTGATCCTATAGCTGAGGTTTGATCATTATCATTGCAGACAGTACAGCCAAGATTTGCTGAAGCAGGTGTAAGAAGAAGCCAGACAGTTGGGGAAACTGAAACTTAAGTGTTGCAAACCAGGCTTACATGTTGATAAAGGCAGGCAGTTAGAGCAGAAATAGAAACCGTGGGACCTGTACAGTGTAGTCAGTTTTCCTCAGCTGATGCAATAATGACATGATGAGGTATTTGGGCTCTCAAAATACCCATAGATAATTGGGCTGCCTTCTTGTCATGTGTTAGCATTTAATGATAGATGGGAAGACATTTTACTTGTCTTCGCTGGTACAGTTTGACAGAAGGAGTTCTGCACCTATGAAAACTGACTCTGGAAACAGGAAGTCTATCTCTTTCCCCATTTCTGTTTCATATGTTTGCCTAAGCTTTTGTGGGTTTGCACTAGTTTAAGTGTAATTGCATGAATTGCCGTGGTGAATTACCACTAATTGTGGGCAGCTTGTGGACCAAAACAGTTGTGTCTTAGCTCAAAATCTGGGAGGGAGTGCCATTCTTCCCCAGTCATGAGCCATTACTGCCACTAATTAATGAGTTGCTGTTCACTTTCCTAGTTGTATGTCAGTTGTATGAATTGGAGTGTGAGCAGGAATGCAAGAGGCAGCTCATTAACGAGCAGCAATTCACTGCTGTAATTTATCAAATTATACTTACATTAATGGGAATTCACAACATGCCGGTCAGTGCTTTTTGTTGCTGCAGATTAATATTTTAAGTAAAAATATCCCATTTTTTGTCATCAGTCCAGGTGAGTTTTCAGAAGTTAAAATAGAACATTAAAAAGTTTTAAAATATGTATCAACATTGTAATTGACAAAGTATAAAACACATTAAAAACTTGCCACTGTAAATCTACAATTCATTTTGAGTATGGCAACATGAAAAATATATTCAGGAACCACTTCAGCTACTGGTGTACTGTCATTAAAGGAACACAGTGAGCTATGTGGAAGACACATATCTCCAGATATACATCAGATAGCTGTTGGGAGCTGTAGCTGCCTTGGCTCTGAGATATGGAATACACCTGCTGCTTGCAAAATTATTCTACCTACATAGAAGCAAGCCAGAGACAGAAGAGCTATGGACTATGTTGTATATCGCATGTGTAATCAGGTAGTAGTTGTGCATCTGCAAATAGATCAGTTGGTATTCCTAAGTGGACCCAGTGAGTATAGGATTTACATAAGTGTTGATTTATCATTCAGCAAATGATTCATTGAATAAAATCCAATATTGAGTTGCAACTAGAGAAGACCTATTGAATCAGTTCAACATATGGAGTGATTGACCCACAAAATCCCAACTGATTCAATGACCCTTCTCTAATTATAATTTACTGTGGGATTTCAACCATTGTATATAGTTTGCCTTGGAGTGATGACTGGATTTAGGCCCTTGTTGACACTCTGTTGACACAGAAGTGTTATATGTAATCCTGTCTCCATCCTAGCTACTGGAGGTGTTCTGTAGCACCTGCGCTGGATGCTGAGCTGGTGCCAGCTTTTTACCTCAAAGTACGCTTTTCTGCTAAATTGAGAAAGATACATTAAAGAAAAGAATGAAAGCTAAGTTAGAAAAAGTTAGTTTTTGCTCTCAGTTCCATATTATTTAGCCTTTTTGACATTTTCTGATATACACCACCATACCCGTGAATGCTTAAGTTGCAGCGTTAACAAAATGGCGGAGGGAGAAGCAGGATGTCCAAGGGACCCTGGCTGACAGAGGCAGGGACATGCTTGCGTGAAGCCCTTAGGGAGTCTTTAGGTCATAGGGGAAGTTGGAGGCGAGAATACATACAAATTATTCACTTTTTACTGCAGGTGCTGTGGAGTTAGTTTATAAAGTCAGCGGCCACTCCCAAAGATAGTTGTTTTCTGTGTCTTAAAATAGCAGCATCCCATAACATGCTTGAGGTTCTTATTGCAGTGCAAAGTACACAGCAGTGCCTTTCCCCCCATTTTAGAAGCATCTCCCAGTAAATAATTGAAAGGCACCAGTATTACAGCAGAAAGTCAAAATGTTCATTTCAGTACTGGAGAAATTGCTGAGTTTGATGTACCACAAATGAAAGCCAAGGGCATATGTAGATTTTTGTCTTCTCCTTTGTGAGACATGTTCGTATGCTTCACACAGTGTAGTGCCAGACTTGTTTCACTTAGGCTTATTATTCAAGGCGCAATTTACTCTAAAACAGCTCTAAGGGACCTCTTGTTTCTACTGCAGCAAGAACTGGGAATCTTTTTTAAAGCCCTTCCCTCTCCTAAACACATTCCCACCACCACTTATATTTTAGTTTTTCTGTGGTGAACCCACTCTTAGGAAAAGCTTCTATAATGTGTTCAGCTGGTATGATCCAATAGTTGTATTTTTCTCAGTGGCGGTTTAGTAGCAACTTTCAAGGAGGTGGTCAGATTAGGGAAAAAGTCATGGGTGAAAAGGTTAAACATCTCTCCCCTTCCCTTCTTGGCAGTGCTACTCCAGTTAAAATCAGATCCCCTCATGGCTTTTTCTTTTTTTTAAAGGCAGGAAATCTAGACTTGAAACTCCTATGTTACATCTGCTTCTCCCCTGAGGGAAGTTAAAGCTAACAGAGAAAAGAGGGGAAATTGGCAGAGAAAAGAGCTTCGGATAAAGCAGAGGAATCCTGAGGATCAGTGATCTGGAATAACTAGTCAGAACTTTGACTGCAGGGCTCTGGGCTTTTTCCATTTTGTGGAGTTTTATGCAATTGTGGCCACATTCTGTCCTCAAGGCAGACATCTAATCTGATTTTACATCTCCCAGGGAATAGTTAATGGGCTGTGCAGTGGCAGTGTCATCCCAAATTTCATAGATCTTGTTGTATGGTTTTGTTGTTGCTTGGGAACAGAAAGGGTTTCTTGCGTGTTGCCATAATTTGGGATAATTTGTCTTTTCCTTTGTTGTGGCACTATTTACTGTTTTGGTATAAAGCAGCCTTGATACACAGGACTTTCAGAAAGAACGAAGACAAGCCCAGTTTGATGAAAGGTATCCAGCAGCTTCTGCTGTCAAAAAATATTATACAAGGTTTCTTGAACCTTATC